GCTTCTGGGAAACTCGCAGGGCGTCCCGCTAGGGTCAGGGGAGTAGTGTCTCGCCAGGGTGGATGGTCAACCTCAAGAACTTTGAAAGGCACTCTCCCAGCCCCTGGTACTGTGGCCTTCCAGGAGCTCTTTACCAAACAAGGGACCCAACTGTGGTCCTTTATAAGGATTTCCAACTTAGGGAATAGGGGGTATTAGAAAACTTCTCACTGCTGTACTTTTGGTAGCAAACAGATTACCTCCTGTCGTTTCTTCATCGTCGTACTGTAAGTATTCTCTCAACAGAAATTACCTTACGGGTTCATTAGGCTTTTCCCCGTTCACAAGAGGTGATTGATTCATTGATTGATTCATTTGAATTTTAGGGTTAGTATACTGAAATATATTTCAGTCTTGACTCGTCTAAGTTTATTACCTTATAACTTTTTTTAAAAATAGGAATCATTTTTGTCACCAGCAGGGCAGCTTCTAGAAGCCTAAGGAACGTCTTAATTAAACAAACAAACAAACAAACAAACAAACACATAAAAATGAGAGGTACCAAAGGAAGGTGATAGAGAATAAGTGGTGCCTAGAAATCCTACCTGTTTGTTTTCTTCTATTTAAACCCATTGGAGATTGCACAGGCTGAAATTAAAAAGGTTCCAGGGCCTGTAAATCTATTCCAATTTAGTTTCTTAATTAAGATATACTTCTTTTTGGCATCACAAATTTAATTAAAACTCTAAATGCTATTAATCATCAATGCAGCAGAATGTTGGTAGAACAGCGGATGTGTTGAGAATCACAAGGGATTGCATAGCATAGCATTCAGAGTTAAGAAGGGGGAAGTGCAAGTATGCAAGAGTATGGTTTTAACTGATATCAGATCCGACTTTATTCTCTGGCACTTCTAGCAGCATGGGTGAACAGGGTGTTTGTTTTAGCCTAACTGCCATACAACAGGCCACATGGATGGAAGACTAGGTCAAGTGTTGCTATGAGATGAGGTTTCTTATGTGTCACAGAATAGCAGGACTTATGTGACAAGTGTAGTGGGATTCTTACAAAGAATTCCAGGTGGACAATGTAAGTATAGATATGGGATGGAAGAACCTCTGAAACATCTTAGGAATTCAGGCTGTCCTGGGATTATGTATTTGCTGTTTCTTGCAAAAGGTATCTAAACATTGTGCTGTAAGGATTATCACACATTTGTCCATGCCCCAGCAGGTGGCAGCTAACTAGAATAAGATTCATTTTCACTGGGAGAATAGAAAAATAAAATTGATTCTCAAGTAATAGTGCCCCCAAATAAGAGGTCATTAGTGTCAGTAAGTATAAAAATTCAGTGAAAGATGAAGCGAAGGGCTTTTTGTTGTCGCTGAAACAAGCTTTTGCATGAACATGATATGCATTTTGTTCTTTGGTTATTTATCATAGGCTTGATTCCTCTTCATGTCAGCATTCTGTATTTTTTTGAGCCTTACTTTTAGTCACAGCTCCTCTCTGTGTGTACATATATGTGTGTATTTGCCATTTGCCGTCTCTGCTTTGACCTTGGAACCTACAGAGCTTTGGCTCCTGGAATAAAGGTTGCATATGGTTAAAGTGAGAAAAAAATGCAACCATGGAATAAGGTATATAAATTTTACTATTACAAAACATATAGGATCTCCTGACACTGAATAGTGTTTTTTATTTTTTATTTATTTTTTGCATTTGTGAGAAAAAAGGAAATCACAAAACTGACACAGTTTTAAAAAAGATTTAAACCTGGTCAGTGAATACTATATAATGATTTTATCAGTCCTTCATATAGCCTTAGAACTGGGATGCATATTTTTAGTATGGGGGAGAAACTTGTAATTACTTCAAAATTGCCTTACTATAGTCATCTTTTACACCAAATCATTCTGTTCTAGTATTCAGAAGGTAATTTTGGGGTTTTTGTTGTTGCTTTTGCCCTGGGAGTGAGTGACATTTAATGAGAGGAAAAAAAAGAAAATTAATCTGATTACCCTTGTAACAGATGGAAATCTGCAGGTGGAGAATTCTAAAGCAATAACTAATTGCACATGTTAGAAATGTCTTTAGCCACTGAACATTGACAGCATGTTACTCAATATTCTGAATTCTTGGTGGTTTTTCAGGCTTTTTTTTTTTTGTATTGTGAAATAAGTAGTTTAGTGTTCACGAGGGAACTCAGTTATTGTAAGTGGCTTTTGTGGTAGTATGCCCTGAAAGGGGATGGTTATTAGCACATCCTGGGTATGCCAAGCAATCCCAGTAAGTCACACTGACATATACACACCACACAGTTGATAAAAAAAAAACCCTTTAGACAATGCGAGCAATGCCATAATTCAAATACACAGACTCTGTGTAGTAGAAATTTTCACATTGCTACTTCAAATGGTACATTACCCATTCAATGTACCACTTTCAATGTACTACTCCAGAATAGAATAAATCTATGTTTGGAGCGCTGTCCGCGGTCCTGAAGAAAGGTTGTCTCCTGCCTGCAGTTCAATTGGACAGGTGGAGTTGTCTGTGGTGTTGAAACCTTTCAGATTCATTGATGGATGCAAATGAATGTAATTTAGCATATGTGCAAAATTGGTTCTTGGGGACCAATTAATAGTAAAGAAATTATGATAGACTTTTAACTGTTTAATTTACTGTGTAAGAACTTTATGAATCTGGAAGCTTGATCTTTCACTTTTCCAACTAGACATCTAATAAATAATCCCACAAAACTACATCTAGTTTAGAATGATAGTTTTAAGCAGAGACATTACAACTGCAATGTCAAATGCCATTATGTTAGCAGAATACACGAAAAAGAAGTGCCATAGTACATTTGTCTCTCAAATTCCATTAAATGACAACTACACTGCAGAATTGCAGAATTTTGATTAGTCACAACATTCTATTTTCAGGTCTAAGGTATAAATTATATTCGACAGATTAAAAAATGAAAATATTTATTGTTTCCCCCACAGTCATTATTATCTCTGCTGGAATCAAAAAGAGAAAAGAATACATAGAATGGAATAAATGAGATGGCAAATACAAGATAGAACATGTTGGGCTGTACATGCCTACAAGAGACATTTTAACCATGGACTGAAGGAGTCGCTAGATACCCTTAGTTTTAGCACAAGGTGTTCCTTTTAAAGTGCTCAAATAGTCAAATTTTTTGATTGAACTGACTGCTATACTGCAGAACTAGCTATTCCTGATACTTATTTTTGACACTGCAGTTATGCCTCCATTTTTAAAAATAAAATCAATGCCCATGTAATGCCTTTGCAAAATATAGGATTATTTTCAAAGAAGCATTTTTAGTGTCATAAGAAAAAAATTGAATGAATTATTTTGGTGGATCACAAACAGTTCATTGTTTTCTTGCTTTCTGGAGGAAAGATTACTCATATCACTATTTAAAAATTAGATATTTTTCAAATAAGACATTTTATATTTTTTTTCATAAGGTTTAACCTAATGCCCTGTTAGTTGGTATGAAAAAGAGGTTAATTTTAAGATACAGGCTTAGCAGTTTGCCTCTTGTGCTTCTTGATCACTTAATAATAATATATGGCAATGTGTTTATTCCTATCCATCTAGCTTTCACTTACTAATGTAAAATATCAGGATTGGACATTTTTCATTTATATATGCATAGAAAAGAGCATATTAACTATTTCAACAGTAAAGTGTATTTCAATAGAAAATATAATTCTCTGTATTTTTTTTTCTTTGACTAAATTACCACTTGTGAAAGCCAAGATAGTCACTGCCTGGGAACTCTTAATTATTTTAATCCCACATTCCACCTCTTAAATAAAATATCCCATTAAAAAAATAAACCTAAGAAGTTTGGGCAAAATTACTGAAGATTCTGAGTTGGCTGCACCAATTCACATTGTCTTTTTACATGTGCACAATTATTGTAGATGAGCTAAAAATGGGTGGGAAGATATGATTCTTTTATTTTAATCCAACATTCTCTCCCTCCCCCCCCCCCCGAAAAAAAAAGACCACTTGAAGAAATCTACTTTTATTCCTGGGTAGTAATCAAGAAATGTCCCACTAAAGTTTTAAATGATTATCTTCACCTCTCCAATTGCACTCCGATCTCTATTCATTCCTGGACAAAATTTTAAAAGTATAACTCAGATCCTCTTTTCAACTTAAGCATACATTACATTTGCAATAAATTCCTTTGTCTTACATCACTTCCTTTTTTTTACAACTCCTAGGCAAAGTGACTTTGACTTAGCTTGTGTCCTGCCGTTTATTACAATTCGTCAATTGATTGTAAGAAGTCCGCTTGCATATATTATACTAGCCACTCTCTTGGCTAAGAGTCTCGAGTGAAAATAAAAACACTTCCCCCCCGTGTAAATAAATCCGACTTCATTCTTGTAACTCAAGGCAGCTGATCACATCCGTTGCATAATAGATATGGGGAAGCTCGCTGGCAGGGAGCCTTAGGAGGCAAGCCGCTATCTCAATTTTTCTCACTTAATCTTGGCTTCCCTTCAGGAGCTGTGCAGCAGTGCAGTAGAATAGGGCCTGGCAAAACCTTTGAGAGCAAAGCGCCTTTTGTGCCGGAGGGAACTGGAGCTCAGCTACGGACGCCCCGGCCGTTTCCAAGGCTGGTTTTCCTATTGATTTTTTCCCTCCTCCTTTGCTTCTCCAGGCTCGCGCAGCCGGACATTGTGGGCGTGCGTGCTGGATTTCTCTCTCTCGGATGCTCCCGGACTAACATGGATGTCCCGCCATCCCTTGCAGTGGAAGGTTGCTTCTTGGCGCAGTGAGTGGAGAACATGCAGCGATTGCTAATGGGCTTGGGAAGCGGAGACTCCTTCCCTCTCTCGGCGGTGACCATGCCTTGATCGCGCCTGCGGCCACCACCACTGCACACCACAGCCTCCTTCCTACCCGAACCCGGAGCCTCCCCGCTCCGCTAGATCCGGGAAGTGGGTGCCCCGCGCGTGGACACAGGAAACACCATGAAGATTATTCCTCCGATGCTAAGTCATCCAGTCTTCAGGCGCACCCTTAAACTCCTGCTCTGCTTCCTGTGCATTGGATATTCTCAAGGAACCACACATGTGTTGAGATTTGGTAAGATTCCCGGTCTCTCGGTCTCCCTCCGGCTCTGGCTGTCTGGCTCGGAGGCAGGCGGCGGATGTAAACAGAGGGTTCGCACCTCGCAGCGGGGGGGCTCCATTCATTCCAACCTGTTCCACTGCTCCGTAGCCTCCGGCTTTAAAGAAAACCCCTAGAGCCTCTGATTTCATGTCTTCCTCCAGCTCCCCTTTAAAAAAAATGTAAACAGAGAAAAGCAAGCAGCTGGAGGTTGGATGGGTGTGTGTGTTTGGTGGTGGTCGCGGTCGCTGGGGACACAGCGCCTCGGAGCCACCAGCCCCCGCGGGGGCCTCCGGGCTTGGCGGGCGGCGGGGTCCGCGCGCGCCAGGCTGAGCATCTCCCAGCTCATCGGGCTGATGCGTTCACACTTGCTAACTCCTAACTCTGGCGAGTTGTGTCCCCAGCGCTTCTTCCTGGGACCGGGACAGGTCTGTACGTGAAGAGGCACTGGCCCCTTTGAATTCTTTTGTCATCAGAGTGATTCCACCCCCCCCACCCCCCCCTGTTAATGTCACCCCTGTCCCAATCCCTAGTGCCTGTAGAGGGGCGCGAAGCTCTTAAAATATATGGTCGTAAGGTTAAAGGCTCTACTTAGCCGGAGTGAAGTGGCGTCCTCAGACAAGGGCTTTGTTTGCACTTAACTTGTGAGTCCTCCTCGGGAAGCTGCCACTCACACTGCTTGTCCGGACTAGTCAGGGATGAACGGCGATGATTGGGGCGGAGGGGAGCTGTGTACAGGAGTCTAAATCTTTATTTCATGGTGGCATGATAAAGAGTCCGTCCAGCTAGCCGTTGTAGATTAGGGGAATCTATTGCTCTCCTGAGGAATTGGGGTTTCCTGAGAGCACAAAGGGAAGTCTAAATGTGAGACTTCAGTAGGAACAACTGGTCAGAAGGGTTGCTTGGAGGAAATGAAGTGTGGGCAAAGCTCAGCTGCTCTGGATGGCCCATGGAGTTTTAGCAGGAGCAGAACTAGTCGGGGAAAGTTCCCCTAAGGAGATGAGAGAGAGAAGAATGCCGGCCCCATTAGGTAAATGCGTCCACGGTGGGCGCCTCCTTTGACAGTTCAAGTGGATTTAGACCAAAGTGTGCAGGAGACCATAAAATCCTGAGTATGTGCCTCTGAGATAAAAGCAGATACATTAAGTCACTCAATCACATTTAAATTGGAGTGATTGCCTGCATCTCCTGTTATGCCAACAACATCCTTTCCTCTCCCCATGTGCTTTTTTATAATGATAAAATTTATCATCTCTCTCAGGCTTTATGGAACCAGGGTAGGGATTTTTTTTTTTTTTTTTTCAAATAGGGGAGTTCTACTTTTCTCTTCTCCATCCAACACAAAGACCTGGAGTCCAGAAGGCTGGTAATGAAGAAGAAAAAAAAGAAAGAAAGAAAAAGCCAATGGGTTATAACTGGATTCTTACTGTAGTAGTTTTCCTTCTTTTTTCATGCCTTTAGATTGTTCTTAAGCACGTTGCTGTTAGCAACAAGCGTCCACTGGAATGCTTATTTCTTTGGATGAGATTAAACAGGTCCCTCTATCACTGGAAATGTGTCAGCTGTTCTGTTTCGAGCATGTTAGAGCTTGCAGTATGGTAGTTTTGCCAATATTTTGAGTAGTACAACCTACTTATTTGGAATATTGAGATCTCTTCTGAAGTGTGTTTGTGAATGAGTGTGCCTTAGTGTGTGTGCAGACTGAGTTGGGGGAAAAAAGGAACCCTGGCAGCTGGAAAAATGAACCAGTACTCTAAAGATTTAATTATTGCTGTCCTGGTCTTGCAGCACAATATTTGCTGAATCATTAGATTGTTACATTTGCTGATCATTTCATATCTTCATATTAAAATCTTGGCGACTGTAGCAGAGTGTGTAGCGCTTTCCAAAAGAGCTGACACAAAAAATACATTTTCCTAGACCAATGCTTACTAAGAATCTCCTTAAAAAGTAAGGAAGGTAGGTAAAGACCTTCTTGCCAGTGCCTTGATACCCTAAACCTGTGGTCGGCAAACTGCGGCTTAAGAGCCACATGTGGCTCTTTGGCCCCGTAAGTGTGGCTCTTCCACAAAATACCACGGCCTGGGCAAGTCTCTTTTGAAGAAGTGGCGTTAGAAGAAGTTTAAGTTTAAAAAATTTGGCTCTCAAAAGAACTTTCAATCGTTGTGCTGTTGATATTTGGCTCGGTTGACTAATGGGTTTGCCGACCACTTCCCGAAACCAACAGCCCAGTTTCTAAAGAATCTGGTATTTTCTCCATCAACTTCAAACACCTTCCATGTGGAGGTCCATTTTCTCTGACTTCTGACCTGAGTTGGGGGGCAGGACTGTGTGCATTATAATCATGGGACATTTACTTCACCGTTGAGGCTACTTTGATGCAATGGTGGGAGTTTCGTTTTCGTTTGGGGAAAACACGTTTTGTGTGGAGTGTATGGTTGGCTGAACACATAGCTGCCGCTTTTGAGAAAGGCTATTTTATAGTTGGGCTGGAAAAGTGGACCGGAGCCTGCTCTCTGGCCCTGTGCCTTGGAAGGGAAGAGGCTGGTGTTGCTCCTGGAGTAGCTGCCCCTAGACAGACACTGGGTGTGGGTGAGACCCGCTGACTCTGTGAGAAGGTGGCATCTAGCCCCTTCTTTCATCTCCCTCATCCACCCAGGTGTGGCTGGCAGGTGCCAACTACCTCCACCACAGCAGTGCCATGGCAGTCACCATGCTCACCCACCCTATACGGTCTGTCCTTTATCCCACTCCCCGCCTAGCTTTCCCTATGTCCCAGCCCAGGATACCTGGCAGAGTATCTCCAGCCTTCTCTCCTTAATCCCCACCTCTGCCCCTTACCCCCAACACACTTTGGCGCAGTGACTCCCCCTCTGGTGCCCCCAAAACTTTCACTCACTTGTACCTATGCCAGAGTGCCCCCTATTTCCCCATCTCAACCTGCATGGCTGCACATAGGGCTGCACACAGGGCCTACTTCCTCAGCTGCTTCTTAGGGAACTCCTGGGGGCTCCTGGGAAGCTTTAGGCAGCCTGGGGGTCAGCCCAGGGTCACCTCCTCAGAAGGGCATGGGCAGGCTTCTCTCCTTGGATGTGGCAATTTCTAGGCTTTACCAGCTTGGCTTCTCCAGGGCGATAACCCAGCTTCTCCAGGTCGATAACTCCTAACCTTGTTAGGAGACTGTGGATCTTGGACAGTTAGATAAGTCAATTCCCCTAAGGCTGGTCTGGTCAAACATTCTCCACCAGCTTATGAGAGTGTGGAAGCTCTGGGATGCCCTCAGCCCAGCTTTGAGGCCCCAGTGTGCTATGTAAATGAGGCACCTTTGTTTATTGGAAGCTGTTCCCAGTCCTGCACTAGCTTGAGGAAGGCAGGATTCTCAATTGGGGGCATGGCCCCAATTCCACCACCTCCCAGTGAAAGTGGGTTCCCCGGGACTTCAAGATTTTTATTTTGTTATTTAGCCCCCTTCTCTTAGGTCTAAGGTGTGGGGAGGATTTGAAGCTGGTTCTCCATGGGGCTCTGTGCAGGGCTAGCAGCCCTGCTTGGAGTTTGGGGACTCTGGCATTTGAATGCCAGGAGCAAAGACAGCAACCCAAACTTTCTCACAAACTCATGGGCAGTTTCTTCCAAGATAGTTCTTTCCAAGGAGCTGAGCATGTGGTGGGCCACTTCTTCCTTTTAGCTGTTTCAACCTGGCTTTCTCTTAAGCATGCCAGTAGGAAGCCTTTATTAAAAGGTATCCCAGGTGAGGCCCCTTCTCTCCCCCTCCCCCAGGCCCAGGGTTTATAGCCTCCTTCCCCTACATATGCCCAAGATGAAGGCAGCCAGCTCAAGGAAAGCCCTGATACCAAAACCCAGGGCCTGAGAGGGAGCAGGAAGGGTTCATGTGGAAATTCCCCTATTTTCTGGACATCCCTTGTGATCCCAGATATAAATAATTAGTAGCAGATGTACTACAGCGTGGAGGAGTGTGAATGAATTGACTGAGCTTAGGAGCCGCCACTCTCAACAAGTTCTTTGAAAGAGATTTTTCTTCCCTTGGGAGGGGAAGTGGGCGGGCGGGAGGAGTGGTCTTACATCTGGAACCAGGGAAAGTGGCTCTCTGGAGGCAGGGGTACTGCAGTCACAGCGGCCACAGCCTGAAATAGAGAAAGCCTGAACACCTGCTCAGCTGAGCTCTGGAAAGCAGGGGAGGGAAGTCTTTCCAAGAATTGAAAACACAACGGCCACAGTTAAAAAAAAGATTTTTCACATAAGTTCTCACTTATTCTTAAAGCTTCAAAGAATAACTCTGATGTGATCCATCAAAGGAGGCACACTCATTTCAGAAAACGACATTGAAAAATGGTATTTTCGTCCTCCAGAAATAGCTCCCCTTTTCCAACCAGACACATGGAGCTCTGCACATTTTTTGGCTTTGTGTGGTGGTCTCTCAGCAGTGAAAATGGGTTTACGTGTCAGGAAACGTTTCTTCAGAAGATACCTTTGCTTTTCAGTTTAATGCAGGTGATCATTGCAGTGTGTTCATTCCCTGAATTCTCAAATGACACTGTTTCAACATTTACTCAGCACAGGGAAGTTCATGTGAATTGCCCCCATACAAAGGAGGTACTTGCCATGTGACAAACATGGGGTATAGTATTCACCTTTAAATATAGTTTTGTCTATGATAACGATGACAACCTTTGATTTTCTTTTAATTATCAGAATTTCTGTAATAAAAATGTGCTGTTCTGTAATAGATACTCTAGTGAGAGGAATTCATTTTCTCCTGTTGTTAGAATTTTACTGAGATATTGTAGCACCAATTACATTTATTCCCTGGAAATCATCAGTGTCCATTTTTTACACACCAAGTAGAAATTAGTTCACTGTCACTCAATGGTATACTTAGGACATTAATCCACTGCATCTGTACTGCCTGGATTTGTAGGAGATACTAGGTTTTCCACAGTAGGATGGTCTGATGTATT